CACTCATCTCATCACTGCCTCACTCACACAGTCACTCACTCACTCACTCACCTCATCACTGCCTCACTCACACGGTCACTCATTCACCTCATCACTGCCTCACTCACACTCACACTCACTCACCTCATCACTGCCTCACTCACACAGTCACTCACTCACTCACTCACCTCATCACTGCCTCACTAACACGGTCACTCACTCATTCACCTCATCACTGCCTCACTCACACGGTCACTCGCCCACTCACCTCATCACTGCCTCACTCACACGGTCACTCACCTCATCACTGCCTCACACACACAGTCACTCATTCACTCATCTCATCACTGCCTCAGTCACACAGTCACACACTCACTCACCTCATCACTGCCTCACTCACAGTCACTCACACTCACTCACCTCATCACTGCCTCACTCACATGGTCACTCACTCATTCACCTCATCACTGCCTCACTCACACGGTCACTCGCTCACTCACCTCATCACTGCCTCACACACACAGTCACTCACTCACTCATCTCATGACTGCCTCACTCACACAGTCACACACTCACTCACCTCATCACTGCCTCACTCACAGTCACTCAAACTCACTCACCTCATCACTGCCTCACTCACACACTCACTCACTCACTCACCTCATCACTGCCTCACTAACACGGTCACTCACTCACTCACCTCATCACTGCCTCACTCACATGGTCACTCACTCATTCACCTCATCACTGCCTCACTCACACGGTCACTCACTCACTCACCTCATCACTGCCTCACACACACAGTCACTCACACAGTCACACACTCACTCACCTCATCACTGCCTCACTCACAGTCACTCACACTCACTCACCTCATCACTGCGTCACTCACACGGTCACTCACTCATTCACCTCATCACTGCCTCACTCACACGGTCACTCACCTCATCACTGCCTCACACACACAGTCACTCATTCACTCATCTCATCACTGCCTCAGTCACACAGTCACACACTCACTCACCTCATCACTGCCTCACTCACAGTCACTCACACTCACTCACCTCATCACTGCCTCACTCACACGGTCACTCACTCACTCACCTCAGCACTGCCTCACTCACACGGTCACTCACTCACCTCATCACTGCCTCACTCACACGGTCAGTCACTCACTCACCTCAAAACTGCCTCACCCACACGGTCACTCACTCACTGACCTCATCATGCCTCACTCACACGGTCACTCACTCACTCACCTCATCACTGCCTCACTCACACGGTCACTCACTCACACCTCATCACTGCCTCACTCACACGGTCACTCACTCACTCACCTCATCATTGCCTCACTCAGATGGTCACTCACTCACTCACCTCATCACTGCCTCACTTACACAGTCACTCACCTCATCATTCCCTCACTCACACGGTCACTCACTCACTCACTAACCTCATCACTACCTCACTCACACGGTTACTCACTCACCTCATCACTGCCTCACTCACAGTCACTCACTCACACCTCATCACTGCCTCACTCACACGGTCACTCACTAACTCACTCACCTCTTCACTGGCTCACTCACACGGTCACTCACTCATTCACCTCATTACTGCCTCACTCACACAGTCACTCACACTCACTCACCTCATCACTGCCTCACTCACACGGTCACTCGCTCACTCACCTCATCACTGCCTCACTCACGGTCACTCACTCACCTCTTCACTGCCTCACTCACACAGTCACTCACTCACTCACTCACCTCATCACTGCCTCACTCACACGGTCACTCACTCACTCAC